CACATTCTTCTTAGTAAAGCATCATAAGAATGGAGAAGCAAAAATCCAATGTACTCAATTCTGATATGAGGACAATTGATGCTAGGACACGGCAGGGTGTAGGGGAATGGGGGGGTGTCACGGTGTGTGACATACCTCTTGGGGGCAGGACACAATTATAAGAGGGGCTTCACCTAACAAATGCAAGCAGTGTAACCTGCTTCTTTGTACCCTCAATGAATCTCTCAAAAAAAAAAAAAAAAGACAAGAAAAAAGAACTTTTGTTCAAGCTGGACACAGTGGCTGATGCCTGTAATCCTAAGAGCTCTGGGAGGCCAAGGTGGGTGGATTGCTTGAGCACAGGAGTTTGAGGAAAAGTGAGACCCTGTCTATACTAAAAATAGAAAAACTTGCCTGGCATTGTGGTGGGAACCTGTAGTCCCAGCTACTTGGGAGCCTGAGGCAAGAGGATCACTTAGGCTCAAGAGTTTGAGGTTGCGGTGAGCTATAATGACATCACAGCCCTCTACCAGAGTGACTGAGTGAGACTGTATAAAAAAAAAAGAACTTTTGTCATCAAAACACAATAATTATTTAATTATTTATTTAATACAGAGTCTCACTCAGTCACTCTGGGGTTGAGTGCCATGGTGTCATAGCTCACAAAACCCTCAAACTCTGGCTCGGCACCTGTGGCTCAAGCGGCTAAGGCGCCAGCCACATACACCTAAGGTGGCGGGTTTGAATCCCCAGCCCGGGCCCGCCAAACAACAATGATGGCTGCAACCAAAAAATGGCCAGGCGTTGTGGCGGGCACCTGTAGTCCCAGCTACTTGGGAGGCTGAGGCAGGAGACTCGCTTGATCCCAGGAGTTAGAGGTTGCTGTGAGCGTGATGCCATGGCACTCTACCCAGGGGGATAGCTTGAGGCTCCGTCTCAAAAAAAAAAAAAAAAAAAAACCTCAAACTCTTGGGCTCAAGTGATCCTTTTGCCTCAGCCTCCCAAGTAGCTGGGACTACAGGTGCCCGCCACAACATCCGGCTATTTTTTAGAGATGGGATCTTGCTCTTGCTCAGGCTGGTCTCAAACTCCTGAGCTCAAGCAATCTGCCTGCGTTGGCCTCCCAGAGTGGTAGAATTATAGGCATGAACCACCTCATCTGGCCAAAACACACTTTTTAAAAGTGAAGAGATAAGGTAGGCTATGAGCTGGGGGACAATATATAAACATATAAAACTGGTAACAGTTTAGTACCTGGAATATCAAAAGGACTGCAAATCAACAAGCTAAGCAACAACTGAATGGAAAAATGGATAAAAGACACAAACAAGAATTTCCTGGGGAAGGATTTACACATGGCCGATAAACATAGAAAAGAAACATGCAGCCTCTTTAATAAACACGGAAAGGAAAATCAAAACCACATTTGATTGACAAACCAACAAGCTCTGAAGAGATCAACAGAATCTCAAATATTTGGTGAGAAAACATTTTGGCATTTATTGTGCAAAATTTAATATTACATGTCTTTACTTCTATACATAAATCTGGGAAGAAGTCAGAACCCTCTTAAAATACTAGCCCAAATCAGAATGTGACTTTCATTCCATGAATGCAAAAATAGTTCATTAGAAATTTGTATTTAATTCACTATATTTTTTCCAAGGAGAAAACCCATAAGCTCATGACTAAGGGGGAAATAAATTTTAAAGAATATATATGGTAATAATAATGAGCACAGTGTCCTGCAGCCACGGTCTGAGTGGTGTCCAGGGTGCATGGGGTGCAGGCAGCACTGCTTCCTTGACCATGAGTCCTTGGAGAGCTGGCACTTGCTGCCTGTGTGTGTGGAAGTCACCGTGGAGCAGGCAGGGGCAGTGAGGACACAGGGAATTAGGGAACAGCTGGGAAAGCAACTTATCTGGCCCCGGCCTGGTGCCTACCACCCACCACTTGCCACAGCTCTGCTCCTATCAGGCCGCCGTGGCAGATAAATATTTCTGTCTCTCTCATCCTCCTGAAATGCTGGGCTTTCTCCTTCTCCACCTTCTTTCTCTGCTCTCTTTTTCCTTCTTTTCCACCTTTTATTTTCCTTTTTATTTCTTAAAAATAGAGACAAGATCTCACTCAGTTGCCCAGGCTGGTCTCAAACTCCTGGGCTTAAATGATCCTCCCACCTCAGACCCCTAGAATGCTGGGATTATAGGCATGAACCACTGCACCCTGCCCTTTTCTTCTCTTCACTGAGGCCTGATATGTGGCCTTCTGGCACGCACCTCCTTCTTCCTCCCAGGGATCCTCTGGAGAGGACTGTGCACTTGGCACCAATATGGGGAAGGAAACCAGCACTTACTGAAAAAGACCCATGTGGCTGCCACTGCCCTGAAGATTTTCCATGGGTTATCTCGCTGGGTTCTCCCACCAGCCTCCCAGCAGCCAGGTGCTGCTGACCACTACTTCTTTTCTAAGAGGGTTTACTAGATGTCAGGCACCATTCTCAGCATGTAATCCTAAGCATGTCCGGTATTTAACACAAGTGTAATCATGTAAGATAGGGACTCCGATTAACATTGTGATTCAAATGTCTTTCAGGGATCCTCAGACTTTTTAAACAGGGGGCCAATTCACTGTCCCTCAGACCGTTGGAGGGCTGGACTATAGTTTAAAAGGACAGGCAGCAGCTAAGCAGGACAGGCAGTGGAGGCAAAAACACCTGGCGGGCCGAATAAATGTCCTGGGTGGGCCAAATGTGGCCCGTGGGCTGTAGTTTGAGGACGCCTGATTCACAGATGGGAAAACTGATACACAAATGGGTGGACACAACTTGCAGCACCAGCTCTGAGGTGTGTCCCTCAGCCCGCAGTGCAGGGAACCTTCAGACCGGTGCTCATGTGGCTGTGCAGCAGCAAAAAGGTCTTATGATCTGGGGGAGAACTGGTACAGATACTTCTGGAAGCAAGCATCCTCCAGCATCTGCCTCAATAGCAACACTGACTCAGGCAAGGAGAAAGTGAGGTGAGCGGGCAGGCTAAGGAGAGAAGCAGGTCTGAGTGACAGCTGCTGTGTGATCTAGGCCCACTGGCTCCTTTGTGTATGCTGGCCAGGCAGCACCAGTACCCTGATGCTGTTGGAAGGACATGATCCTAGAAGGTATCTATGGAGAGCAATGGGTTTCCTCTCACATGCCTCGATACCATGCTGTGATAGTAATGCCTGATGGCTGCAATCATACACCTGCATGGCCATGTCACAGAAGAGCAAGCCTTGTCCATCCAAGGCTGTTACCTAGAGTCAAGGTCTAGGAAAGTGTTTGAATTTTTGGCACAACAAAGAACAGCACAGTGCATCATGCCCCCAACTTTTCTGTGTGGCAATATTCCTCCAATATGCAATTTTCTGTTTCTCTGTCTTGAGGGTTTGTCCCCATTTAGGTCTCTGCTCAAATGCCCATGAAGGACAAGCTACTGCCACCCAGTCCAGCCTCTCTGCTAGACAGCCCTTGCTTGGTGTTTGATGCCTCATCAACAGTCCCCCTTTCACACACCTCACCAGTAGGCCCCTGGCCCAGCCTGAAAGCATGCCATTCATTTGCAAGCCTGTCTGCACAAGTGTATGTGCCACCATGGCAGGGACTTGGCATTATTTTTGCTCTGTTCTTAGTCCTTGCAAAAGTACCTGCCAACTGGTATTTAGCAAGTACTTGTTAAATAAATGGATAATATAAACATCACCATGCTCCACTCACGGGTCTTTGGAGATTACTGTGTAGTCTCTGGTGCACGAGGATGGTGCTGCACCAGAGGGATCTCACCTTGTGTAGGTGTTCTGTGAGGCGTCTGCTTGGCGTTTGAGTGTCTGCTCAGGACAACAGCAGGGTGCCTCTCCTGGGCTGAAGCAGCTCCCAGCACCAAGGAACTTCCTGACAAATGCAGATTTCTTACCTACCTCTGGTTCTGGGGGCTGCGTGGGTGGGCCCAGGATGCTTACCATAGAGCTTCAGCACAGACAGGCAAACAGAAGGTGACTAGTGGGCCAGCAGAATGGAAATCCCATTCCTTCCCAGCTTACTGGGCATGGGCTGCGCAGCCACCAGCTGCTCTGGAAAACCTCCCCCATCCAGCTGTGATTCTCTGGCTCTCCCTGGCCCTGTGCGCCAGTTTAATCTAGGCCTTTCAATATAGCCCCTGCATGTATCTGGTCCCTCCGAAGTCTCCCTGCCTCTGCCTCCTGTCTCCATCCACACCGGGAGTGGTGCTGGGGTCCCTGTGCTGTGTGAGAGACCCTCATCCTCTCCCACTGAGCTCAGCGCTGTGCACACCATGGTAAACTTCTGCACCACAGATCTTCTCCAGCAGACTTTGAGGCCTTGGCTCAAATGTCTCCTAGCCAGAGGAGCCTTCTCTGACCCACTCAAATAGCCAGTCTTGGGTCTTCTCTGACCTTCCCTATTGTACAGACTTCCTAGCCAGATGTGCCCTTGCAGTCAATGTGAGTTATGTCCTAGGCCTTCTGCACACCCTGTCTGAGGATAGCAGTGCCTGGCCCCAGCACACTCCACGATGGCTGCAGGTGCTATTGGCGCTGTGTGTGCACCTCATCCAAGCTCCCAGCACTCCATGCTAGGACACACATGATGCCTTTAGGTGGGGAAGTCAGCCAAGGGCCTGTTTAATTCTGTCCAGAAGCAAAAAACAAGCAAGAGAAGCTAAGTGGGTGACCAGAGTGAGGTGAGCAAAGGGGGTACTTGCTGGGGAAACTGGGTCTTTGGTGGCCCTCCATTTCTGGCACCTGGTGGTAGAGCTACCTGGGTAAATACATGTGGATCAAATGAACATTTGAAACAGGACAGGCTTTGCACTGTGGATAGGGAGTGAAGCAGAAGAGAGGAAAGCATCAGACAGTTCCCGTGGAAGACTCCTTTATGTTCCCTGCAAACATGTGCCCAACAGGAAGTCTGTGGCCCTGGCCATGCTTCCAGCTGCCCGCTTTGACCACAGTTCCCCAGGCCCTGGGCCTGCCTCTTAGTCGAGCTGCACCAGCCTCACAGGCAAAGGTGAGGGCAGTGGGGGGCTCCACTGCATGTCAGCCCTCTGCACGGCCTGCAGCAGCCTCTGCATTTCAGCCTGTACCTGGCACAGCCTGCCTTTGTTCACAGGCCCCCAGGACAGGCCATGCAAGTACACGCAGCACTCGATCGGGATGGGATAGAGCACCCGCTTCAGCTCCATGAGCCCTGCTGTGTGCTCCAGCAGGCTCAGGAGGCCTGCCCTGGAGACCGGGTTGTCGGAGAGGCCCAGGGAGCCCAGGTGAGAGCAGCAGCACAGGGCCGGCAGGATGGCACTGAGGTGAGCGTCCTTCAGCCGGCAGTGGTTCAGGTCCAGGTGTTGTAATGTCCCTGAGACCTTTGCCAGCAGTGTCTCTAAAGGCCCAGGAACCATGTAGGACAGGTTGTTGCCACTAAGATCCAGCTTCCTCAGGCAGGTGGCATGAAGGCTCTGGGACAAGTAGGTGATATCAGTGTCAAGAAGTGTGCAGGAGCGGATCTCCAGGGCATGCAGTGGGGCCTGCAGGCACCTGAGGAGAGAAGGCACAGCTACCTCAGGGGAGGGCCCGGCGCTCTACCTTGAACACCCACTTGCCCACATAGGAGGCTAGTCCTAAGACCACTTCCTCATCAGGGAGGCCATTTACCAGTGTGTTTAGGAACATGTCCAGTTTGGTGTTCCAAGGCCTGGCTCTGTCTCACTGGACCTAGCAGGCCCTCCATGACCTCTTCAATGCTAAGTTTCTCTTTGGTGAAATGGAGATCCATGTTATACAAACCCAACATGACTGCTGAGGAGCTGTTTGGACAGAGTTTGATCGATAATAAGGAATTCATAGGGTGAGCTCATTATTCTTTGGGTTTGGGTTTAGGGAAGCTGCCACTCAGGCTTCCATTTAACCAGGGTGGGCTAGGTGTACTAAATGCCCCACCTGGAAATTTCTAGGAGCCATATGTGGAATAGGACACGTCCCTCCTACAACTGTCCTGTAGGGTTCTTCACCCACCTGCCTAGGGCAGCATAAGCTCCAGGAGCAGTGGCCTGACTTGTGTTGTCTCTGGCTTTTTCCTGCCCAGTTCTTGGCAGTGTCCAGAAAGATTTGTTGGGTAAAAAAACATATTGGTAAATAAAATACCCAAAGACTATGGTGATAGGATGGCCTTGATAATAGATTCTCTAACCAAGGAAAAAATAAACTAACAGAGGGTGGGGAAAGGAGTGAATTCAACTCATGATTGCCCCTTTAAAGGGGAAGATCACAGCATACAACAGTACCTTGTTTGATTAACTACCTGCAAAGTTTTGTTTTCGCAACACTTGAAAAAATACTGAAGGAGTATGACCCTTCCCCCCACATCTGCTAGAACCACATTCCAGAAAAACTGACAAGCCACCCTAAAGGAAGAAAAAGAAAGGAAAAGCAAATGTAGTGACCTCACAGCTGTTCCCACTCTCAGTCTGCAACAATTTTTTTTTTTACCCTTTGTAACCCCTGACAAAACCTAAGTCACTTGTCCCCTGGACCAACCCTTTGCTTTTCTTTCTTTCCTGTTGTGCCCTGCCTGCAGGAAGTAAAACAAACTTTTCTTCTTTCAAAATTTTCTGATCTTTGTGTTGAGAATTCTTTGTTAGTCCTAACACATTGTTTTGGACTAAGCTTCTACACGAGGCCCCAGTGGACCAGATCAAACCAGAATGGAGTCACTTATGCTAAGTGCTGAACAAACTTTGAAATGGGTCAATTTTCTTTTCTTTTTTTTTTTTTTTTTTTTTGAGACGGAGCCTCAAGCTGTCCCCCTGGGTAGAGTGCCGTGGCATTACAGCTCACAGCAACCTCCAACTCCTGGGCTCAAGCGAGTCTCCTGCCTCAGCCTCCCAAGTAGCTGGGACCACAGGCGCCCGCCACAACGCCCGGCTATTTTTTGGTTGCAGCCGTCATTGTTGTTTTGGCGGGTCCGGGCTGGGGATTCGAACCCGCCACCTTAGGTGTACGTGGCTGGCGCCTTAGCCGGTTGAGCTATAGGCGCCGAGCCGAAATGGGTCAATTTTCCAAAGAACAGGTGATTCACAGCAACCAATCAGACAGGACCCAGCATGATAAGGAGGCCACTTCTTTTCCTATAAGGAAAAGAACTTTTAAACAAGCTTCTTTCTGTTCCTTACTCTGCTTTTTTTTTCATCCTTTTTCTGCCTATAAAACCAATTTCCTCTGCTGAGATCATTTGAGCTCTTATTCTATTTTATTTATTTGTGAATCACAAATAAAAGTCAATTAGACCTTTAAACTAAATTTTCTGTAATTTTGTTTTTTAGCAAAGTACACCTTTCCCCACCAGATATCTCTCTTCCAGACTCCAGCCATCAGTTGCATCTGACCCCCCAGGTTCCCAAGCTGCACCCACGATTTCAAGAGTACCTACTAATTGGCCCCACTTCCTGTCTTTCTCCCTCCCCTTCCCTGATTCTGGGGACTGTATGGAGGTCCCTGCTCATCTGTTCACCTGAGTACTTGATGTAGGTTGCCGGAGAGGTAGGAATAGGAGAGGTGGAGCTTCTGGAGGTGGCCAAGCTTACTGAGCTGGGAGAGGAAGCAGCTGGAGGACTGCTCGCCCTCTGGGGGGAAGGCCCAGTGGTAGTAGGCCAGCTTGAGGCTGCGCAGGTTGCAGATCCTTCCCAGCTGTGTGGCAAAGAGGCTCTGCTCCGACAGTGCCCGGAACCAGTCAAACACCTCCAGCTCCTGGATGAAGTCCAGCTCCAGTGTCTTCAGGATCCCTATCAGACTATTAAAGGGCATCTCCTCAATGTGCAGCTTCCTACAGCACAGGCGCAAGGACCCATGGCTCCGCTCCACTTTCGTCAGGAGGCTAGAGAGGAACGTATCCAACTTAAAGGGGCCTCTCAGGAAAAGATCAATGTGTAATTCTACTGTTTCCCATGGCTGCTTTAGTCCTTTTCTCGAATCCTCTACTGGCTTGGGCTTGGTTGTAGCCTGGGGCATCTCTGCCTTGACTGTCGATGGTAACCAGAATGGGAACCTGGCCAAGGCCTCAGAGGCCCCTTTACTTTGGACCTGCTCAAAGTTCAGGGTCAAATCCAGCACCCTCAGTTCTGACTTCCTGTGGGGAGAGGGAGGGGTGGTAAGATGCTGAAACCTGCAGGGCCCAAGTAAGATGAACAGCAACAGCCCACCCAGCTTGCCCTCTTGAATGGGCTTTTCCTTTGGCAGTTGGGCCCATTCCCAGTCCCTGTGCCTCACAAAACCTGCACCACAATAACTAGCAGGCAAAACTCCTGCTCCTTAATGCTCTTCAGCTGCATCACTAGCCACTTAACATGGAAACCCATGGAGTCCCCATCTGTCCCCCTTAACCCCAGCTCACTCTCCCTCTGGCTCTGTGCTGGCCCCTCATGACAGGGCCATGATCCCAGGAACCTCCTTACCTGGGACAAGCACTGGGGGCAGAAGAGGTCCCCAGCCCATCCAGCACAGCTTGCAAGCTGTCTTGGTTGGGCCACTGCACTATCAGAGAGCCCAGACGGAGAAAGGGGAAGGGCCAGGCCTGCACCAAGGCCTTCAGGGCCTTCTTGTGGCCCCTGGCAAATGCGGCAGTGAGCAGTGGTGGGAAGAGGTCGATTGTGAACTCTTCCAAGGCAGGCAAAACTGAAGCCTCATTGTTCAGCAGGCTGTGGGCTGCAAGTTCCAGGAGCTTGGGTGGGGCTGGATTGCTCATCTCCGTGAACCTGTGCAGAATAAGGCAGAAATCCTCAGAAGGCCTGTTTCTCACATCCCTTCCAGCCAGCATGGAGGATAAAAGCTTTTCACATCCATCACAAGGCCAAACACTGGCTCCACCTCCATTCCTGACCCAAATCCCACAATTAGGGTCTGACAAGCCTGAGATTCTGGGCCCCCCAGGTGCTGGGGACATGAGGTCCAGAACCTCAGGGGGTTAGATCTATTCATCGAGCTCTAGAGGCTTTGAATTGGCTCAGACTTTCTTCTTTTGGCTTCACCAGGTATATGACCATGAGAACAAGATCATTATCCTCAAAATCCACATCTATTTTTCAAAATGCACTTAGATTCTGATGAATTCTTATCACTTGCACTTTTTACCAAGTCACCAGTATCTTGTTTATTTTCCTTCCTCTCTTTTCTTTCCTTTCCTTTTCCTTTCCTTCCTCCCTCCCTTCCTCTCTCCCTCCATTTCTGGAACAGTAAAAAGGAAAGTGGCTTCGTCTCCACTCTGAATACAATCTATGCTTCAGTTGCCCTTACAGAGTCTTATCTAGCCCAGGGGAGGGGAACCTGTAGCCTTAAAGCCACATGTGGCCTTCTAGGTCCTTAAGTGTGGCCTTTTGAACAAATCCAAATTTTACAGAACATATCCTTTTAATTTTTATTATTACACTTTTATTTGTCCTTTATATTTTTATTTTTAAAAATGAATGTATTTAAAATACTACAGAATGAAAATCCTCCAAGATTAACCAGCACAATTAAAAACGAGTAAGCCATAAAGGCTAAATTGATGGCTGCTATGCTCATGATTTAGTTCTCCCTCCCACGCTTGACAAGCACCACTACCACACAAGGCTGGTTGGTGACAGTTTATGGCAGTTGAGTCTGTCACTCTGTTATCAGCTTTTGGCAACAGTGCACTGTATTTGCAGTGGAATTTGTGGGTAGTTGCTCAGCTCAACAAGCTGTCTGCTTAATAGCCTATCATGTCAAGAAGACCAAGAGAACACTGATGGTAGAAAACAGAGGATTCTGTTTAGTGAGGGTTGGGAAAGACAATATTATCTGGTTTCTGCTAAAGATAACGCTTGCTTTGTGAAACTGCAATATCACCATTAAAGAAGTTCAATGCTCATCAGGAACAGACATATTTTAAATTAGAAGGTGAGGCATGGAGATAGTATTGCAGAAATTAAAAGATGAAACGCCAAAGCAAATATGATTCTTTCAAGCAGCAACAAGAGCTGGAAATGATGCCACTGGAGCAACTTATAAAGTTGCTTATATCCTTGGGGGAAGAAAGGGAAACCATTCAGTGATGTAGAAATTGTGAAAGAATGCATTGTCCAAGTTGTAGGATGCTTAGACCCTGATAACATTTCAAAGTACAAACAAATGTCTCTTTCTAGGAGAACCACAATTGATAAGCAGCATGATCAGCTTTCAACTTAATGGAACAACTTCATGCAATATTTCTTTTTTTTTTGAGACAGAACCTCAAGCTGTCCCCCTGGGTAGAGTGCTGTGGCATCACAGCTCACAGCAACCTCCAACTCCTGGGCTCAAGCGAATCTCCTGCCTCCGCCTCCCAAGTAGCTGGGACCACAGGCGCCTGCCACAACTCCGGGCTATTTTTTGGTTGCAGCTGTCATTGTTGTTTGGTGGGCCTGGGCTGGATTCGAACCTGTCACCTTAGGTGTATGTGGCTGGCGCCTTAGCCACTTGAGCCACAGGCGGTGAGCCCGTGCAATATTTCTAAAGTAAAATATATATTATTCAATTGCTTGAATGAATCAACTGATACTACTCACTCAACACTGGTTTTATACTTCACTCAGGTTATAACAGATTTTCTTTGCTATGAAGAGTTACTCAATTTGGTAACTCCTGTGGACAGTATACAGGGAATAGATATCTTCAACAGTTTTCAAGATAAATTTTGTGAATTTGGATTGAATTTGGTAAATTTAGTGAGTGTAGTGCAGAGGCTGCACCTTTCATGACAGGAAAACACGAAAAGTTTATTGCACAAATAAAAAAGTATTAACAGATCCAGATGTGCTCATTTCTTTTCCTTGCATCTTGCATCAGCAAAATCTCTGTGCTGAAGCTACTATTTTAAGTGACACTTTGAAATAACTTATAAGTATTGTTAATTATATTTGTGCAGATGCAACATGGTATTGTCATTTTTCAGCTTTGCAACACAATAAAGTTGAACAGTGAGTATTCAGCATGGATGTACTATATCATTCTAAAGTGCACTGGCTTTTGCAGGAATAGGTATTAGCCAAAATTTTATCTCTGTAAGAACAGATACTAAATTTTATGAAGAACAGTCAGCAGTGTGAATTAGTGAATGAAAGATTTCTATAGGAATGCAGCATATCTTTGTTTTTTTATTTCAGATAAATATGAGGGTACATCTCGGTTACATTGTTTGTGTTTGTTAGGTAAAGTCCAAGTTGTAGTTGTGCCCTTCACCGAGTTGTACCATATATCCTTCTATTGTGCTGGATAGATAAGAGCACACCAACTCCCTCTCCTCGCTGGAGTTTAATTGTATTTTCTCTTCTGTGGGTGTGTAATTGTTCATCTACTGGTTTCATATTAGTATTGAGTACGCTAGATACTTGTTTTTCCATTCTTGTGATACTTTACTAAGAGTAATGTAAGCATCTAACCATCTTGGTTAATACAAAAGATGCAAGTCTCCATCTTTTTATGGGTGAACAGTATTCCATGGTATACACATACCACACCATTCATATCACAATCCATTCATGTGTTGACTCCACATCTTGGTGATTGTGAATTGAACTGTGATAAACATTCTAGTGCAAATGTCCTTATGGTAAAATGATTTTTTTCCTTCTGCATAGCTACCTAGTAATGGGACTGTGGGATCAGATGGAAGGTCTACTTTTAGTTCTTGAGGATTCTCCATACTTCTTTCCAAAGAGGGTGTATTAGCTTGGAAATGCAGCATTTCTGTGTAATATCATCTCAAATCAAAATAACTTGAATATATCTTTTCTTTTTTGAGACAGAGTCTCGTTCTGTCACCCCAGGTAGAGTGTAGTGACATTATCATAACTCATTGCAATCCCAAAGTCCTGGGCTCAGTGATCTTCCTGCCTCAGCCACCCAAGTAGCTGGAACTACAGATGTGAACCACGATGCCTGGGTACTTTTTCTATTTTTAATAGAGACAGGGGTCTTGTTGTTGCTCAGGCTGGTCTTGAACACCTGAGCTCAAGCAATCCTCCACCTCGGCCTCCCAGAGTGCCGGGATTACAGCCATCAGCCACTGTGCCACCCACAACTTGAATATTTCTTTGCAAGGTAAAACTAAGTCTATATATTGCATGTGGTAAAGATCCCAAGCATTTAGAAAAAAGCTATCTTTTTTTCAAACACTACTTCTTCAAAAGGAAATTTCAGATGAACATATTTTCCCAATTGGCAGAAGCCACAGATGAGCAAGATGACATGTGCAAATCATCTGAAAAATACACAGCTGTCATAGACCATGACATGAAAGGTTTATTGCACAAATAAAGAAGTATTAACAGATCCAGATGCGCTCATTTCTTTTCCTTGCATCAGCAAAATCTCTGTGCTGAAATGACTATTTTAAGTGACACTAAAAACTGCCCAATTGAAGAATACAATAAAAGATTCACTGACTTTGAAAATCATGACATCACACCCAAATTAGCATTTCGGCCTCACCTAGTTGATATCACCAAGGCATCTATATAACTACAGATGGAGTCCAATGAGATCTCAGTAGATGACATTTTAAAGTTATTGTTTGATGCTAAGAAAAATCTAATTAAATAAAATATGGAAAATACTCATGCCTTTGGCAACATGCCCCAAATATGCTTTCTTGCTTTTCAACCACTTATTGCTGCGACTTTGATTCTCTTACCTAACCCAAAGGTCACAAATGACTGATACCCATCTAGAGATCAACCAAAATAAAAGCTTTCCAACCAAAAGCAGGCACAACAAAGTCATTAAAAGGTTAGCTTTGGAATTAACAAGTAGTTTTCATTTTGTGCAATATTTACATAGAAGTTAGATTTTTACAAAATAATGTACATTTTAAAGTATCTGTAATTGAAGTTTCTTAAATTAATATGGTCTTCCAACATGGAAGGTGTCTCCACCCCTGGTGTCACCTCTTGGCACCTATCTCTGGGCCCACTTCCTGTCACCCTCCTCAGTACTTGCTCTGTACCAGCAATCTACCCTGGCCTCCATGCCACTCCTCAAATCCAAGCAATGCCCTGCCTCAGGGCCTTTGCCCCTTGCTGTTTCTCTGCCTAGGAAGGGTTTCTCCCAGTCATCTTTATGGTGGCTCCTTCACTTCCTTTAAGTCATTGTTTAGCATTTCACCCTCTATGGGAGGTCTTCCCTGAGCATCCATGCGGGATAGCACTCCCATCCCTTAATTACATCTCTATTTATCCTAACCTGATTTACAGCACTTAGACTGCTACTTCTCTTTCTGTCTCTCAAATACACACACACACACACACACACACACACACACACAGTTGCTTACTGTCTGCTAAATTGCAAACTCCATAAAAAAAGAATGGTTTCTGCTTTTATCACTGCAGCAGTCTGAGTGACAAAAGTAGTGCCTGACATACAGCAGACAACCAGGCACATATTAAATGCATTTCAAGAGCAAGTTTGCACAATGTGAGCTCAAGCACAATCCCATGATGGACCCAGGGTGCTATGTAATGGAGGTTCTCTTTCTCTGCTCTCACAAGACATTAGTTTCAGGTTGGTTCTGAATTCTTTCAACTGCCCAAGCTCCTCCTTTCTTCCCTCCCAGTGAAGCACGGGGAAGTTCAGCCCCATCCCATGATTGTCCATAGTTTATCACGGAGCAGGGTTTGTGCAGTTATGGGGACATTCTGGACCTGGCCTATGTGGAAGGCCCAGGCCCACATGGCTATTGTGTAC